ATGAGGCTACATTCTTTAGAGCATGTACCTGTAGCATTCTGCCTATTAGCTTAGCACAACAACAACAACAAAAAGGCGCTCTCTCACCCAGGAAACACAGAGAGAGAGAGCGTCACCCTGTAACCTTGGCAACCGTAACGCTGCCACCTGGAACAACAGAACAGCTGTCAAACAAAACCCAAACAGTCCTGACCCACCACAATATGAAACAGGAAAGTACCACTGTGTAATCCATTTATTTCAACAAAGTAACTGTATTCTAAATGCCACCTTTTTAAACGGTAACTGTAACGGAATACAGTTGCTCATATTTTGTACTTTAAATACGTAACGGCGGTACATGTATGCCGTTACTCCCCAACACTGTATATAAGTCACTTAGATAACTTAAAAATGCTATTGTTTGGCTTTTTTCAGTATTTTATTTGTTCCCGAGTAAATCTGTTTGGCTGAGATTAAAGTTACAGTTTTTACACTGCTGAATAAACGTCAAGCAGACAACCAGTTATCAGAAGTGTGAGATGCTCAAGAATATACTCCGGTGTCCTGTTATATTATATTAGATTAGATAAAACTTTATTAATCCCTAGGGTGGGTTCCTCCAGGAAATTAGGTATTTTAGATAGCGGCTGAGTTTATTAAACTCCACTGAAACAACCTGTAAATTTCATTAAAATTTAATAAACTATCATCATGTCTTTATTTTTAGTTAGCACATACCTTAAACATTTAAAGCTGTAAGCTAATGATAGTTATATAAGAGCACATGCATGCTGGTGCAATAAGCTGTACGTTGTACATCCAATGGACGCATGATCTGATTAGTTGACTAATGGCAAAAATAATTGGTGACTAGTCGACTATCAAAATAATAGTTTGTGGCAGCCCTAGCTACAAGTTCTCAGTTCTAAGGCACCAAGAAAGAGCTGGCTCACCACTGCATTAAAATCAAAAGAAAGGCATCAAGATGCAATTTAAGTCCCGCCTTTCAGCCTCAATTTAACTCACTGAACAAAAATTGCAGATAAATTTTATTTTTGCTTTATTGCTTCATTTGAATTAAGTTTCCATTTGACCATATGTTATGGATTCACAGCCACAGTTTCCAAATGCAAAGGCTACAGTTGCAAGCATTCAACTACCAACCTTATTGCTAATTAAGTGATGGAGACAAATTTAAAACAACTTTGGAGTAAATTGTCCAGTTACATTTGGACCACTTCAAATAAACGACTGAGTGCAGAAACTGTGATCGTGGTTAACTGAATATTCTTGTTAACCCTCTTGCATTAATAGATTTATTTTATTTCAAATCTATTGTAAATCTACTATCCATACATTCCGGGACCTAATTTTACATTATCATCACTGTTGTATCTATACTACTGATCCACTACCATCACTACAATGAACAGAAATGACTATAACATCATGAAAGAATGACTTTTATGGTTTAATCAAATCATCACTCAATTTCAGAAAGACATGCAAATTCTCTGTCAAGGATTTTTGTTTAATATGGACAAAAATAGTTGTAGAAATCTGTCTGTGATTCATTACGAAAACGCTGAGTACAGTGCCTCTATGTGCACTGTGTGTGTGTCATATATATATA